GCTTGATCCGGTTTAAGATACATTGTTGACTGCTTTCGGGAACATGATTTCATTTTAATAACTTGTTTACTTGTTTAACCAGGGCTTAAGCAATCGTCACGTTGGTCATAGCTTGTTATGATAGCCTGAACAATGCGTAAAGAGCAAACCGCGAAACATTGAACGTCGCGTGAAAGTGGAACTTAATGAAGGCCTAAGTGCTTTTTCGTAACTTTTAGTTTTCGGATTAGAAAAATCATCGGTTGCAGGACAGTGTTACCGATTTATATTGGATAATCCAAAGCTATGTTGATCATTATAACATTAAATTTTGAATAACAAATGATAAGACAATCTTATTCAAATGTCGTAATAATACCTCTAACCAAGGAAAAATGATTTATATAGTTTTCATAAAAGTTGACGATACAAATACTAATGAGGAAAGGAATTCCGCATTTCCTTTTCCCAAGTCCTTTTCCTCTCCTTCCCTTCCCTTCTTCTCTTTTCAGAAAGCGAGTAATGGCGCTATAACCATATGCCATATAGGGCTAGGACAAGAGTTAGTGCTCAGGTCCCAACCGCTAGAAGAAAATGGTAGCGAGCAAGGGCGCTATAACCTAGGCGAATACAGCATTCCCTCCGTATAGGTTACGTCCGCACACCGCTCTCCGTTGTCCTTCGACTGAGGTCGGCTGGATCGATTGAGGGATGGCAGTGGGTTGACGGTGCCGTCCACGCTTGTACGGAGGGAGGACTGTTCGCTCGAACACAAGGGGTAAATACCTGTGTTCCATCCCAGGAGATCGGACAACCAAGGAGTGTACATTAACTTTCTTAGCTCTGTCACTCCCAACGATTTATATAGCCGATTTTCAAATCCTGCATACGGAGCGGTTGGTACGGTATGTCCCCGCTCTTTGATTACCTGTGGATTAAATGTTAACCACTGTCTATACTTATTAAGTAGACATGGAAAACATTCACTTCCACAAAAATTAACTAAACGCTACACAGTAGGCCTGGCCGCTTTATTGTTTGTTTCACATCCTTGATGTGCAGCAGGCATTAATAATGACAAGAAAAATGATAGATGTATCATTTTCCAGGATTCTTTCAAGTACTGGCTGTGTATGTGTAGACTAGACTAGACTAGAGACTAGACACTCGCTTCGTTGTCGTGCGCGACAGTCTACACTGGAGTCGCTTTTTACGCGGGTGATATGTCCCGCGTAAAAAAAACCGCGTAAAAAAAAACCGCGTAAATTCCGGAATCCGCGTAAAAAAAAACCGCGTAAATTCCGAAATCCGCGTAAAAAAAAACCGAGTAAAAAAAGACCGTGTAAGAAAAAAACGCGTAAAAAGCGATATACCGCGTAAATTCTGAAATCCGCGTAAAAAAAAACCAAAATCCGCGTAAAAAAAAACCGCGTAAATTCCGGAATCCGCGTAAAAAAAAACCGCGTAAATTCCAAAATCCGCGTAAAAAAAAACCGCGTAAAAAAAAACCGTGTAAAAAAAAATCGCGTAAAAAGCGACTCCAGTGTATTTGTATTCGTACACGGATATGAAAAACTACCCAAAATTAAGTACTTTTCCCTCAATTCCGGGGTTCAGCCCAATAACCCAAATTTGAGTAAATCGCATATAGTAGTTTCCTTTTAACACCAGCAAAAAAATTACCTACTTTTAAGTATATTCTACCCAAAATTAAGTTAAATTCAAGTAAATTTGAGAATATGCAATTTACTCAAAAGTAACTTATTGGGCTGAACTATATCGTTGGGTCGAATCTCTTATTCCTTTTTTGACAACAATAACGAGTGCAAGTGAGAGGCTGAAGTCAATATTAAGTAAAAAGAACTCAAATTTTGGGTAATATTTTTTCTCCGTGTACACTCATGCTCTACAGTCGTCTCTCTCACACAACACAAACGGTAGAACAACATTCGAGCAAAATGAAAATTATCAAATAACTATCATATGACATGTCCGGAGAACTTCGAGATAAAGGGGTAATTGCTTTTGTAAACAAACACGTCATTTTCCGATTTCTCGCGATTAAAAATATAATCTTAAATACTAACAACATAAAAAGGTAAAGGAATGATTCCTCTATCATTTGGTATAGTTTGTTTGCGAGATTGCTCTTTTATTCACGAGAAATCGGTGATAAGGGCTCTAATGTTCGAACCTCTAAAATGAACTCGAATTTTGTTTTCTTCATGCTACGTCCCTGCAATCAGGCTTGCCAAAATTCCTCGAACTCAGATTATGCCGTATAGATACGTGAGCTAGCTCATCCCTCACATATAAAGAGCAATGATGTCAAATCCAAAAAGCGCAAAAGAGCTCGAGCTGAGATTGATGTTCAAGTTGGACTTCCACAAACACGCATCACGATGAGTGTTCTTGAGTGAGGCGTTCTTCCATTTAATATTCTGATACACAACAACACATTCAATGGACTATAGGACCATTCCCAGAGAGCGTAACATTTTGAGAGGTGTTTATTTTAAGTTGGGGACCACTTTTTGTGTTACTCGAACTCAGTCACAAAAATCTTTGATCGTTTTTTCCGCTAAGTGCTTTATGAGTGGATAAACGAGATTATATTTCTGACTCAGAATGTACGAGGGAAAACTAGTAAAAGCACTAATTACTCCGTTTATGGATTATCCCTTGGTGACGTTTTCGTATTCTCCTGTTGCCTTTTAACATGTTCATTCATTCAATTCGCTAACCTCGGAAATCTTTCTGGGCCAACAATTGTAATAGGCGGAACAACCCAACGTAAGCAATCATACTAAGATAAGTTTACAGATTTCTGTAAAATTTTACCGAAATCTCAACAGCTGAACGTTTGGTAAACAATTTTACAGTTTTCCTGTAATTATTTACAGATATCTGTGACAAATTCACATATATTTGTGAAAAATTACAGGAAATCTGCGAAACTGTTTACCGAACGTTCAGCTGTTGAGATTTCGGTAAAATTTTACAGATTTCTGTAAAAAATTCTAAGTGTGATGGCTTCAAACACAAAATTCTCGGGAATCAAAACACTACCATGTAAACCAAAATTGCCTTTCGATAAAGGAAGTTTGCTCTATCAGTGCTTTGATTTTCGAGGAATTGAGTCCTAAGAGAACATGTCAATAAATTTCCCTGAATTTCTACTAAATTCACTACATTTTTTTCCAAAGTTCACTGAATTCCTATAAAGTTCGATTTATTTATACAAAGTTAACTGAACTTCTACAACATTATCATGTGTAATTATTGTTGATTCACGGTATAAAAACACTATAGCCAGCGTAGTAGGGTAGGCGTAGCCTAAAAGCTGTAGTGTAACATGCGCTGAACAACTGCAGTCTTAAACGAAAGTTCACGAAAGCTACCGGCTGTACCGAACTTATACGAAGTGGCCGTTTCTTCTCGATATTGCCGACTGTAATAATATAACATGATTTAGAATTAGTTATCAAATAGTACCAGCCGTGCAGGTCACCGAATAAATAATTAGAAGTAGTTGGTGAAATAAATGTAGTATTAATCGTTCAATAAAGTGTGATAAGTGTGTTAAACGAATAAAGTGAAGAAGTGAAGAATAAATTTCCTTTCAAATAGCTTTTATATTGAAGAACACAACCTGCTCATCTGCTATCATGAGCTCAATTATATCGCCTGAAAGGTGTACTGTGCGTCGGATTTTGTGTAAGAACGTTATTTCCGGCGGTCACAACAATTATAATATTACACTTCTTCGAAGTTCACTGAAATTGCAAGAACTTCACTGACTTAACTGACCTTGTATTAAATTTCAAGAAGGTTTCAAGATCTTCTACACAATAACCTGATCTTCTACGATATTTCCCGAAGTACTACGAAGTTCATAGAAATCAAATGATGTTCCCTTTTACTTTTTTATTTGAAATATTGAACACCCGGTATCGGTGAAGACATGTGAAAGACCTTTCGACCATCTTGTTGAAGATTGTTTCTAAATACACCTGACATCCCTGATCCGCACCAAGAAGAGGGTAACTATTACTGAGCCTTTTTGGACGCCGGTCGCTTCGGGGTAGCTCCTTGAACAGTGGTTACCAGTACACACATAGAATGTGGGGTTCCGTAGGAAGTTCTTCAGAAAGTGGAGGATATGGCTAGACAGACTCCAGTCCGTGAGTTGAGCTAAGATGACGGGCGACCTACCTAGCTCAGCATGTTGGTTAGCGTCACCAGCGTCTCACCTGGTTCAGAGAGGTGAATACTCGTCGAGTGGACCATCCTCTTCAGCAACTCTACACACTAAAATTTTTTCGCCGAGGTTCCAACAGCCGAGTAGTTCTGCAATTTATTTTACTGAGATACAGTAAAACAATTGGCGAGACTCAGCTAACAAATAACTATTTGCTGAGATATCAGTTAACAAAATGAGTGAAACGGTGTTCGGTACTTGGAATAGATATGGTTGGTAAAGCGGCTGAATTTATAAAGAGACGACTTGTCAAAACTGGAACAGTTGATTATCTGTCAAAGTCAATTCAGTCTCTTTAATGGTTGTAAGATGTTCTACAAAGTTGGACACATGGGTCTGCGCCAATTCGACGCTAATTTCGCTACCGTGCTACCGGTTCGTGAAACACTGCACAAATGACTTTTAAACTTAACCTAAACCTAAAAATATACTGCAACTTAAGCTTAGTCAATCGACATAGATAATTATTTAAATACGAACAGGAAAAAAACCAAAACAACGAAAGAAGAGCATAAGTGGATTGAATTTTAATATGTAATGGAAAGAAGGATACAAGATAGAACAGCTGTCAAAAAACACTCTTCAGTTTGGTGATGACTATTCTAACAAACCGAAAAAAAAAACAATAAGTGTTGGGACAAAAAGCTGACTGCGCGCGCACTGTTCTTTCTTTCATCGAAACAATCAACATCAACATAAAAAAAAACTTCTACCGAAAGACAATAATAGAAATTGAGAGAAATTGAAGTTTGCATTTTACCTGTATCACCTTCACCATATTCCGCCATGGAATCAGTATCACTTTCCGGTCCGACTTTTTGCGATCCCAGCGACTGTCGGCCCTGGCTTTTATTGTCCAAGCTGTAATCACGTAAAACACTAAACTCTTTTTTGTATCCTTGGTCCGGACGGAGCCGCTCATGGCTATTGCTTTCCGTTAGAAAAAAAAAAGACAACCCACTTTCACCTCGTTCGGTCCTCTCCCGCAAGGGCGCGCGTTAGAATGCTTTTGTTTGGGAAATAGTTCTTTGAAAAATTGACGCGGCGCTCAAGGACGCCCTAGTAAAGTCGGCCGCGGGCACTCCGGTCCGGTTTAGTTTTGAATGTTTGAATATTACTTGAAGAAGGGGGTTGGTTGGGGGGTGAGGGGAGTAATTATATGAGCTTAAAGAAGGAGTCAGTTGCTGATGTGGTGCAGGTTATGTGAATGGAAAGAACCACATTCAATTACATGAAATGACGGAAAGAAAGGGGAGTTCTGTGGAGCACTGTGCCTTGCGTTTGACTTGATGTTTTTGGAAAACAGTCAACGTCGGAGGGAGCATTATTTACAACCGAAGTACCACGGTAAGAAGTGAGCGTTGTTATCTCTAATCGATGTGGTTTACTTTATTACTTGGAAGATCCCCGGAAGAAATATACAATTATGTACACAGCAGTCAGTTTATTCTAGCCATTAGCGCGCCAACCCTTTTCTCTTGGCCTTTGCCTACTAAAGACACGGTCGTACAATTAGAATTGCCAAGAATCTTTTCGGTATTTACAGCCAATTCGGTTGCTTTCTACGAAAGTGATTAACTGATCCATAACGGAAATTTTGTTCAGATTTTAGATTCACATAGATTTGGGAAAGTTCTAACCGAGGAACCGTAACCGTTAGTTATTTTAGTTTTAAGTTTAATTGAACATGCACCTAGTGTAAGAATTGAGCTACATTGGTCGGTGAGACCTGGCTTTCGAAGGGTGGATCCTAACATAGCTCTTGAAAATCTACACCAAAAATCCTAATTTAGCGATTTGCAACTGACGATCGGTGTTGGTACCAAGGAGCCAAGGGTCGGCGGAAGGAGGCAATTTTCGAAAAAAGAATGGACTCCACCCACATACGTAGTACAAGAAAACCCGAGACACCGGAAGTTATTCTAGCACCTACAGTTATTACTGAGCTGTTATTAGAACTAGACAGAAAGCACGAGGGCGAGGGAAACGGTACAGAAAACAATAGCATAGAGTGGAATGAATGTTTTTTTTTTGTGTGAGGGGTTAGAATTTTGGTTCACTTTTGGCCGAATGGAAATGTTGTTTGGTGTCACATGTATGTATGTATGCATGTATGTAGTTATTAAAAATGTATATGAATCTACTGAATTTTCTTATCATCTATTAGAAACACAAAAACTACACGATAATGGAATTAGTAATGAGGTCGAGCAAGGACTCGGATTAACAGATGGAACGAAACCGAAAGAAAGAAAGATAAGGGTAGCGTCCGATAAATAACGTCTAATTGATTATGGTGGTTATTACACCACTGGGGACGAACTTTGGAACGAACCGAAAAGCATGCAGTAGACTGAAACTTACTATCTAGGTAATTAGGATACGTAGGATGAACCTAGGAAGGAGTGAAAATGAGTTTAAGACCGGAGGATTTGGGGTTCCCGAAAAACCAAGGGTACCATTATACTTAGCCTTGAAATGGATGGCGGGCATGCTCTATTTACCCTGGGTGATTGTCGTGTGATTGTTGATTCTACCTTTTTACCCGACAAATATTAGCGCGGCGAAGAATTACCAAGCTTACCCATTTCCTTTAATGCATACATCCTATCCTCAGTGGGTGGCAGTAGAGAGTGTCGCGCCGAGATTTGTTATGCTTTGCCAGGTGGGGACGTGCGCTTTGGCAGGGGATTGGGGGTGGGGTCAGGTTATTGAGGAATACAATCTAATCTTAAACTATGGCGTGAAGTTGAAGGTAAACCACTTGCACCGGAACAAGGAGCGGTAGTCGAGGTGGAGGGAACTTAAAACACACGCCATTCTATGCAAGAAAGTGTGGTTATGCACGCAGAAACACACACCCACTCACACCCAAACACATACACACACACACACGCACAAAACACGAGAAAGGTGAGGCTTGTTTATCCTGTTGAGTAATGCGAGTTTATGATGGAAATGCTAAATAGATGGAATGGGCGTTTATGATGATGATGGTGATGGATGAGGCGGTCGTCGTGGAAGAGGTGACATAGACGCTTGAAGGTTATGTTTCGAGTGGATGGCAATGGTGTGTGACTCGCCTTGCTTGTCTAGGTTCGTAAAAGTAATTTCAGGCAAAACTGATTGAATAATTAATTTAAAGCAACATTGCAAGATTCCTTTGTTTCAGCATTTCACCTGCTAGGGACTACCCCCTTTGGCATAAAGGTTTTTGAACACGGTTTTGAAGCATCCCTACCTCGGCTGCTGACATTATGATTTTACCTTGGTGAAAACCTTAAAAGTTCCGTGATTTTCTACGTAGTATTGATCCAATGTTTAAGGGCATTGAGGGACGAAATTAATCTATTTTCTATTATCCTATGTTTTAGAAAGATTCTATCACGCCGAACAGCTCGATTGATAGTAACGGTGTGATTAGATTTTCCAGAGATCCAAAGTATAAATTGAGAGTATAGAGATTTTCTGATATTCGCAAGACTTCTATACTACGATAAGGACAATATCCCTGAATGGTATCCCGAGCAAAGCTCGGTATCAAATTGAAATCTGAGCATAATTTTACACTGTTGAATCGAACGGACAACTAATCCTGCTTTCAATGACATCAATTTGACAGTGACATAGCATTGTAGTATTATTTGTATGTGTTTTTTGCCTCCACCGTTCTAGCGAAGAGCGTATTAGAGCATCTCCACACGCGTGGTCAGTTGCCATTATTGTCAGTTCACAGAAATCTTAGCATTCATTGGTTTTTTTCAGAAACAAGAAGAAGACACAACCGCAGCTGTCATACATTCCAAACACTGACACAAAAACATATTATTAAATGAATTGTAGACTCTTAACTGTTATAAAATTCAGACCTTCTGGCTCAGGTTCGGGCATATTTGACACTAATATGTAATCACAGCCGGAATTATAACTGATTCTTAAGCCTCATTTTCTAACCTTTTATGTGAGGTTCTGCGTCCCGAATGTCAAGCATTTTACTCAGAAATATATGTTGATAGTTTGAGAGCAAAAAAATATCATTTATTGCCCGTTTAAGGACAAAATGAACTGTTTTCTGTTGACCTGCTAGGTCGACGGCTTTGAACGTGTTGAGTATAGCTGGATCGCTCAAGGATCGCTGTATAAACTTGTCCGGTTTGCCTAATTTAACTAGATTGCAGGCTAGAATGCAGGATGAACTTCCGATATATTTTTAGGCATGATTGGTAGGTTGAACGGTTTTCTTCTATGTAAATGACGAGGGGAACGACTCTATCTACAATGCAAAAAAGATTGTGTTTTGCTGTGGCTAACTGCGCGCACGCTGAGTAGATAGAAAGAAGATTGATGACGATTCTGAAGATTTCCTGCAAAAAGATGATGCGCGATGCAAGTAGATGCGAGAAATGAAAGAAGATTTTTCGAAGATTGATTCGCTAGTGTGAGATTTGTTGCGCATCTAGACTTGAGATTTAGATGTGTCGCCCCCTTCGGTAAATGATGCAAATCGGTGATGACACAGCTGTAACGCTATAAATTCACACTCAAACTTAATTTTTCTTCGATTTTTATCCAAACTTTCATCAGTTTTATTGATGTTCTGTGATGCTTTTCGCGTTGTTTTGAGGACATAGCCTTCTGCGAATAGTTTTGGTTCAGTGCTTCAAAGTTTCATTGGCTGTCAGTGACGATTGTCAATTTCGGTTGTCAAATTTTTCTCTGAATTGGCAATATTGGATCAACAATAGAAAAGGGCCCATCAGCATTTGTAAACAAACCGTTCCAAAGCCCATTCCTCACAAATCGAAGGCTGCCCACAGAAACCAACACCATCATCGTGTAGGTAGAAGTTTCCCCTATCCGATGATGGTCTTGGTGTGCGTGGGTGGTCTTCGCTTTGTGAGTAAAGGGCTTAGGAACGGTTTGTTTGTTATGACAAATGCGCAAAACCTATTAAAAGCGATGAAGAGTCTATCTGCTGCTTGGCTTTCTGTGATAATACACACGAGGTGCGCGAACACGAAGCTGAACAAGGCTTTTCTGAACATTATCCACTCAAGTCCGAACTTGTTCTGGATGAAAAGTACCAGATTTAAAACAACAGTCTCGTCGTTTGGAAGCGCAATCAACTCTATTGCCGAGATGCAAGAAATTGCACATGCTGAGATCAGAAAGGAAATGGCCAAACAAGGACAGCGAATTGCTAAGTTGGCAAGACGAATCGCGTCATCACCTCCGACAAATCTGGATTCCGGAAATATCACCCGTCAACCCCTATAGAAACGTCGCCGTGATGAAGCCCTGCTGACTAGCAAACCACTCGTTGGTTGTACTAAAGCGGTGACTGATGCTGATGTTCAGACTACTCCTGAGCCTACTGAGCTGTACTGGCTGTACCTCTCCTCTATTCACCTCTTGTGTGAAACCGGAATCAATTGGGAAGCTGGTCAAAACTAGCGTTCAGTGCGTAGATCCGGTAAATGTTGTGCCACTTGTGAAAAAGGGATCCGATACGAGTCGTATGAGCTGAATTTCTTACAAGGTCGGAATGGTTCCAAAACTACTTGACCAGAAGGAATTTTGTTCCGCGAATTCGACGGCACAAGTTCAAAAAACATGTGGTTGCCTCGTCTGAACAAGCCGACCATCACAATCTCTTCTGTTCCGGGTCCTTTGCATTATTAAAACTCCCGTCGCCGGAATCGATGGAATCTAATTACGAGTTGCATGCAGCGTTGCACAATCGAAACTGCAGCGTCACTTGATGAAGTCGATTTTATTCACAATTCCAGTCGTTCTGGCGCAGGTCGAGTATGGCAATGAGGTCCCCCAACCATCATGTTCAGGCAAGTATGCTTCCATTAGCAACAGGTATTGGTCTG